CCCACGCTTCGCTGCCGCGTGGTCGCAACCAGTCGCACGTAGGCTAAGGATACTACGAGGGTCGTCCGGTACCTACGCAGACCTGAACCAGCGCTCTCGAAGGCAGGATTGTGATACTTCAGGCTATGCGCCCAAATAGCCATAGGGCGACCATAGTGTGAATCAGGGCGCGAGTGCTGTCACTGATTGTCTCACTAACACACGGAATCCTGAGGCCAATTATGCGAATCAGTCGAAAGAGATGGTGATACTTCCTAACTGCCTCCACATCCGCCATTTCTTGAACCCTATTAATCCACCAGTCTTCCCGTTCAACATGCAGGCTCCACTTTAGCTTGCGACTAACATTCCATCAGGTTACATGGTGCTCAAAACCAGCTGGGAGTTTCCTTCTAAATTTCAACTGGTTCATCGACATCTCAGATATCCAGTGACTGGTGTGCTGACGATTGACAGTATCAAAAGCAGAGTCTGCTTCATTGTGCGTGGAGGCAGAGATCCTATTCCACTAAAGCTCAGTGTCATGGGATTGAGAGAGCAAACGCTCGGTACGCAGGGTGTCCTGGTAGAGGGAAACGCTTGGTGCGCCCCTGCCTCCCCCCCCCCGTAAAGTTCACGGAAAAACGGCGGCGGACCAAGGCATGATCAGAGTCGAGGCACGCACTAAAGAATCAGCGATAATCCAGGATGGAACCATGTCATCAGTAACTTATGGCAAAGTGATATACTTGGATCCATAACTGGCCAACTATATGGGAAGACCAAGAGATACTTCGTCGTCCACTGCGCCTAAAAGCAGTGCCAGTCAGAAACAGAGAGTGTTCCGAGCACGGTTACAAGAGACGCTCAGTGTTGTCCGTCCGGTCGGAGTTAAGCCGATGAATACCATCTCTAGCTAAGCTTCTGAAGAGCTCAGACCACCCACTTGTGCATTCATATATCCTGCAACAACAACGATATTTGAACCGGTAACGCTGCGTAGTAGTGTGCTCAGTTCGCGATGGAAGGTGTCTTCGGCAGCATCGGAACTGCAGCCGGTGGAGGCATAAGCGGCAATCACAAACAGTGTTTAGTGTTACTTCGTGAAGCAACCTTAGTTTATTTCGTCAAAAAAGACTGCAAAAAAGGGCTGCTCATGAGAATGCAACTAGCTAGCGATGATCCAGTTCTGGAGCTAGGAGCGATGCCCACTACAGTCTGACCAGTTTTTGCCGCATCAACCGGCTCTATCCTGAATGTGAACCAATGATGCGCCCGCATTCGGCATCTTGCATCCACGTTTCCCAATTCTAATCTGATTAATTCTACCTGTTTGTTCAAGTCTACGCAGGGGGAACTAACACAAAACTTGTAAAGGTAGTGATGGCTCGTAGCCGAAACGACGCACAGGAACACAGAACGCACCGAGCTGATAGCACGCGCCGTGTATTGTGGCAAGTACTTGAGAACAACCTGCCAAGAGGAAGTTGAGCGATAGGCGGACCGTCACACGCGCACCTACGGGCAGTCAATGCTGGATGTGTGAATATCTGACTGATGATAGGGATTCGTACGACACACAGCCCACTTGCCTAACCTCTTCTTTGTATGCAATCTCGTTTTCCCTGTTAGGCCGCTGAGTCATGGTGAATGAAACCAACGCCACTTCAGTGTCCTGACCGTTATCGCTCAACTGAAGTAAGAAAATTGTTTGGTCTATTTCGGAAATAGCCCTTGTGCACTGAGCACAGAAAGAAGATACAAATCGCGAAGTGTGAACACCGCGATAGCTCTACTCAATCTGGAACGCAGTACAATTAGGAATCAAACAGAAGTGAACACGTGGAACCCACACACTGGAACAAAATGATCAACCAAAAGTAAAGCAATCTAACAGATTGTTTCAGTTGCCTCTGTGCACACAACATCGGGCGATACTCCGAGTAAAGCTTCGGTGACAGCCAGCATTTCGGGGTTCCGGTCGTGCAACAGTACTTTGAAAGCTAAAGATTGAGCTAACTGATGGCGAGTCAATAAGAGATGTCTTACGATGGACGATTTATAGTTTTGATTCTGCAGTTGATTCGCAGCGGTTTGTTGCGTGGACGCTTGCCGTAGGCAATAAGGCCAGTCTACGGTTAGTCTTGCCTCTATAAACTTCACAGCTACTAGTGGTGAACCGGTAGACTACATGTGAAATCGCACTGCCTGATAGACATTTCGGATGGTCGTTGAGAACCAGTCACTGCGTGGTGTGGAGCAGTCGCAAATGCGCGGTGATGTAATCATTGTGACAATCGTTGTCTGTAGAGCTCCGCTGAGTAAAGGAGAAGACATTAGCAGACAATTTGTGCGTTTGTGAATAGATCTCATAAAAACAGAGGTCCATAATTGCGCGAAGAATATTCTTTTCGATAAATCTCATCAGGCATTTACAATTAAAGAGCAAAATTCGAAAACCGATTGGCTAATGAAAGCTAGGTCCAAATTAGAAAGAACCACGAAATGCACACGATATATTGGCTCGGCATGGCCGGTCATAGATTAATGCCTTTGCCTTCCATTCAGACGCCAAGTGGACCGCTTGGACCGGTACGTAGAGGATTATCGATTCATGTTGTAACAGATGCATTCGATTTTATTAAACGATTTGAAGATTTAAAATGAATGATAAAGAGTTGTTTTCTTTTGATGCAGAAGCACTTTTCATTAACGTAAAACCGTCAGAAACATTGAATTTCAATTGTGATTTCCTCACTGAAAGGAACCTGAACGTTGGTAAACCTGTGCGAAAGCTGAAAGAATTGATCTTACGATGCACTCTCAACGTAAAGTTCTTATTTGGTGGAATTTACTACCGCCATGTAGATGGGGTTGCAATAGGCTATCCCCTAGACCCAATCTTGGCAGATATCTTCATCGCGAAACTTAAGCGTGGACCAGCTAGCAACCAGATCGCGCGACTCAATTCAAAGTACCGATATGTGGAGGACATATTCATCTTCTGTGACGCTTCGATTGATAGCAATGATCTGCTTGACGAATTTAACAGTGTACATCCGTCATTAGAATTTACCATTGAAAATGAAAATATCGGGGAAGCTGGTCTTCATAGATGTGCTATTGCGCCATGGAGAGAATGGGTCAATTGAAAGAAACGGATCCGAAAAGTGATGTGGGTAGGCCAGTATATCCACTTTCTCAGTTATGTGCTAGTGAGATATAAGAGAAACTTAATCCGATGCCTATTTTATCGTACCAGGGCCATTCGCAGCGCTGAGATGATGGGCAGTGAAAATCAGCTTATCCTCAGTACATTGCAGCAGAATGGATATACTCCCCAGATCCTGAAAAAGCACTCCATACTACCCCATGCTATCAATGCTGTTCCTACAGTACCGAAAAAGGACGTCTCTTTCTTGCAGTTCATTTTAAAGTAGATATCGCTTTTGAGCTGTTGAGAAGAAAACTGTCGACCACAATGGCTCAGATATTCCCAGCAGTCAACCCTAAATTGCTTGCCGGAACTAAATCGCTAATTTACTAGCGCTTGAAGGATAGAGTCCTGGTCCGGTCCGAATCTTTCATCTTATATCAATTCACTTGCACCTGTCGTACAAAGTATCCCGGACCAGGCGCCAGTCTAAAAGGATTGCTGAACACTGCCCTGCTTCGCTACGAAAAGGCACCGTAAAGAACGTCGATACTTGAGCATTTGGTTGAAACAGGACACCAGACCCAGACAAATGACTCACTCAAAGTCATAGATACCATCCCGAAACGATACACTGAAGGACTTAAGAAACGCTTGTTAACAACATCTGAGGCTAACGCAATCAGAGTTTTGAAACTAAAACTGTACAAACAACAGACGCCGGTGCAAACCTTGATTCCACCTTGGCGATGAACGCACTGCGGCGAGAATTCCTCGCCTCAAACATGACAGGCGACCAGCATTTGTCAGTGCCGTTCTATCTGCCCTCACCTACCGTGTGTGTTTTAAAAAAGCTGTCTATTTCGACTAAGACAATGTTCGATGACTGGCCATGCCGAGCCAATAGGTAGCGCAAATTTCGTGGTTCTTTCTAATTTAGACCTAGCTTTCATAAGCTAATCGGATTTCTAATTTTGCTCTACAGTTGTAAATGCGTGATGAGATTTATCGAAAAAAGTGTTCTTCGCGCAATTGTGAAATATATACGTTCTTGGTTTGATTTCCAATTCGCTAAGATCCACATGGTGAGTGCAAATAAGCGCAAAACCAATCGTGGAGTGCAGACTTGAGAGTAGAGTCATCAACTCGTGCTGAACTTAAACGAACCTGTGTAGCGTAATAAGCAGCAATAGAAAACATGGATAGGGTACAACGGTGACAACAAAGGATGGCGAAAATCCAAGGCAAAAAAGCCTTCTAAATGTTGTTCGTCACAGTCCCCCCTCAACCCGGCAGGCTTGTACAATTCTGGAAAGGCACCAGACAGCCGTTTCGACCTTCTGGGACTCATCGGTGGTACACGTTCCTCGGAGTGCTTCCGGGTTCTGACCCCACGACTTCCGGATGCAGACAGCCTGTGCTACTGAGCCATGGGCGACGGCGGTGGACATGCATGACTGACAGCTGACTACGATATAGCATACCATGTCCCCATTAGGATTGTGGTGGGATACCAACGCACCAAGTGTCATCAGTATAGAAGTACAAGAAGGCCAGTAACAAGTCAACAGCAGAACATAAAAACGCCTTCAAAGAGGAACAAGTAGGAGAAGCAGATGTATGTGCACTTAGACGCAGAAGCAAAGCGTGCTATATGTCCTACGGGAGAGATTTCGAAAATGAATGGGACGGTTTATGGCCAGAGCTGATGGTGTTTAACGTAATATATAAGTCCGTTCGCACCTTGGGTTCCAGCAGGATAAGTACCGAATCGCGACGCAAATTAAAAGTTGGGACAAAAAATTCGCTCAACCATTTGGGGAATACGATTGTAACGCAAACTACAGTAATCGTTAAACAACATTACCTGTTCCGTCTCCGGAATTGCAGTCTTGAACGCTGGTTGCCAACCAGTAACAGCATTAACACTTGTGTTCGCTTCGGTTGAGAGCGACAACGGATGGTTCGAATTCTCAACCACCTGCTGCAATATCTGTAGCTGCTGTTGCGAAGGCATCCGGCCGGCAGTCGGTGGAGGCTTTAAGGGGACAGGGTGCTCTTCAGGAATGGCCAACTGCGAACTGGCAGTAGTGCCCAGATGCGACCTAGCTGCTCGAGGGCGTTGTCGTGGCGCAATCGATGTATTCGCCACTGTAGAAGGCAGTCGATCCTCTGGGACGGCAGCTTGTGATGATGGTGATGATGAGCTACGTGCAAAGAGATAAAATGGAGCAACTCAAAAAGAGGCAGATACTGATTAAAGAATTCTTTGCAGTGACTCTCATCAGACTAAGATTGTATATGGTGACTAATACGTGCTAACTGTGCCGGATAGGAGTACGCATTGACTAAGAAGTCTAATCCCAACGGAAACGAATCAATAAAACACGGGGTCCATAAAGGTAGCAGATTGTGCATAGCGGCAAATAACGTTCAGAAACAAAAATTAACTGGGGCACAAAGCAAAAGATAGTGCAACGGAATTGGTAAGCCAAGTTGGAAGTAATGGTCGTACGAATTGCTTTTGTATGCACAAATCCGACTTGAGGTGCCGGATATAGATAGCTTCCACAATAGATAGGAGATGCTTCCAGAATCCGCGCGAGAAATGTTCAGGGATAGAGTAGATGACCCTGAAATCGTTTTCTGAACCAGTGCGACAGCACTCCATGAAGTGTGACATGATGAAGCTATTATAAAACCTCGCTTCCGCTCTATAAAACCACTTTGGAATGTGTTCGGGAATCCTGTGAGATAGGCGCCTCGTAGTATGACCCATGTGTCGTGCACCACAGGAGCATGAATACTGATAAACAAGCATTGATCGAGTCCAAGGAGGCAGTCCATCCTTCAAAGGTTTTTCGAATAAAGGATAGTTGCAGTAATTTATGCGTAGGCGAGCCGCGAAGTAGGTCTTTTCAACAGCTTCTTTCAGGCGCTTAGACAGGGCATCAGTCGCACAGTCGCCTTTGAAAGGAAAAGATACAATAAGTTCTAGCTTGGGTACACTCATCTTCGGCTGTTTTATCTTGTATTCTTTCAATGTTTGAAGTAGAATTTATCCGCATACCCATTCTCTAAGAGCACCACTGATTCCATGCAATTTCGCGATGATAGTGTCCGGTGTGCAAATTTTGCGTGCCCAGTAGGCAAGACTGTGGACTAGATTCCTTTTGTATTATGATGGTACCGCAATATTGAGGAGAATTAACCATGTCCAACATGGGACGCATTGGAGCGCCTTCCTTGTGAACATTAGGAAGGCCGTACAAGCGAGGTAGGTGTCCACCTGAAGGTCGCAGCTTTTCGAATTCACAAGTTGTGATAACATTCGCTTGCATAATTCGTCGGAGCAAACAGGTCAATTAGTTTGCTAACTCCACTGTAGTATCCTTCCCTACTGTTAGATTGTGAAACTTACGTTGATCACTAAGAATATGTCGTATCTTACGGACGTAATCAGTCCTATCCATTAGAAGTATGCCAGAACGTTTATCCTGCATAGGAATAACTGTTTAACGTGGAAAAAAGTGCGTACCAGAATAGTAGAAACAGAATGGGTACGGTCACGTACCATGCTGGTGAATGAGGTAACGGCTGGGCAGCCGAAGGTCGATGGCGCAAAACCTTTAGCTGGGACTCGCGCGAGGGCAGCGTAAGATCTTGCCAATGCGGAACTGGCATATTCTGAAATGACGAATGAAAAAACGTAAAGATAAACGCCAGTGTCAAAGATAATTTACCAACAGATAATGTATCGCATAAATAACGAACGAAAAAAGTCCAGATTGCTTAAATAAGGTCAAATAATTGTGAGAGCGCTGGAGCAAGGTGGTATGTGTTTCAAAGCCAAGAGAGACTACAACGTAGATAGGATACACGTTGCGTTAGTCTGGAAACGGATCGAACACTGACATGCCTGTTGAGACAGCCAGTTTGCAACTCAGACTGGCTAGCCATTTTGGAACACAATACTCCAGACATGTGTGCCACTGACGTGCCCCAACAGAACGAAACGGATGCCCTGCTCATTTCGGGATATGCGATGGCTATCAGATGGAGTTTTGTGGGGTAAGACCTCGAAATATCCCGAATATCCTAATATTCTGGTGGTGGTGGTGGTGGTGGTGGTGGTGAAAACCATCATAACAGGAGCTGCGCTCCACACTAATCCAGAATGGATGCAGCCAGCAACTTGCCTGACCATAGTATACATTTCGTACGTCAGTACTCCAGATACAACCGGATTGGCTGCCAGACGTTGCACTTGACAATACTTCAGCAGTTTTGATTGGTCCCTGTAAAAGTCATTACGAGGTGGGGTGAATTTTCACAAGGTCATCAGTGCAAAGGCCACACTGAACGTAGGCACAACTACAAAGGTAGTTTGTGCTTTCTGAGGTCTCAAGCGCGCATTTCAATCCTCCTCTTTCTTACTATGGGAATTTGCGGCTCCAGGGGCCAACCCGGTCAAACGCATGTTTGTAGTGCCCATAGCAGTGAAGGATAAGCGGTGCTACTCCGCGATTAGTAAACTGCAGCGATATCCCCCCACCATTATTTGTGGCTCAGCAGGGCCATAAACCGGCCAATTTCCTAGTTCCAACCCAAACCAAACTGGACCTTAACGTGGTGTGACGATTGGAATACCTCTTTGACCCACTGATATATACTCAGCGGCGTCCACAGGTCCCTTGAGAAGTACTCCTACCAGGTTGGTCAATAGTTAGAGGTCAGACAAACTCAGCTTCCTGGTGTTTCAGCTTCGGGGTTTAAAATGGGACGGCGTACAATTCGGTAAAACCAAATCATTGCCACCTCCGCTGCCTTGCGAACAGACTATTGAGTCAAAGGCTTTGGTCAAGGGCCCAAATCCTCCTCGTCTGGGCGCCCTGGCTGAATCTTAGTCCACGTACAACCATGAGCATTTCTTCATTGTCTAGGTTACTTTTCCATGCGCAGTACTGTGCCCTAAGAAGATAACTTTGTGACCTCTACCAAAAGAGAATACGGAGAGTCACACAAAGGTTTAAATAAAACAGAAAATGCACTACGCTCCTCGATGATCGAGTGTTAACTATCGACTGATGGATATCTGCAATACACGGTAGGTGATTTCATCAGATATGACCCACGAGACGCAAACTTAGACTCGCGTCACACCTTGAACATTGAATGGCTGTATAGTTTATTCCTACAGTAACACAGTGATGTGTGGCACAGCAGAATCTTATCCAGTGACAAGCGGACTTTGGACCTTGGTACAAAAACACGAGAACTGTTCACACCAGCTCAACGAATGGGAGTAGTAGGCCCTTCAAGTCAGCAGTCGAAGTGGATGCGAACCAGAGAAAGAGCTACCTTGGTGGTGTCCATTTGTAGGCAAGATATATGCTTGGATATATTCGTTTCAGGATTTACCTTTCACCGTGAATACGAACAGATACAGAACGCCTGCATCGACAGATGGAGCATGATAGGTATGCGTTTCCCCACTTATAGGTCCATCTACATATATCATTATACACGTTGACTAGAGGTGGGAAAACACCTCCGCTATTGTGCCACAATACATGAAGGAAATACATATATATATGTATATATATATATATATATATAATACACAAAGGAAAAAGAGATACAACAGTTGCATGCCAGCTGAGCTACCAGCAACGGATAGGCATCGTTCCGGTAACCTAGCTGCCGGTAACTAGGCAAAAAGAAAAAAATTATTATGTTTTACCCTACGAAATGAGATCGTAGATGGAAAGGGAGGCTAAGAGGGATGGGGAGGGACAAAGAAACTCACAGCATGAACGCCACTAAGGTTGGCTCCTTGTCATGTCAGCAAGTGTATCCAGCCAAACGTGTTCACCGTCTTTTGGACCCCAACCAGGGAGCCGGGACGCGCCAACTGAGGCCAGCTTCGAAGTGAGGGACTTCATTCCCCTGGACCAAATCATCGATTGGCCACCTCTCCTCTTCTTCCACCCACATCCCCGGTGAGCAAACAACGCACGTCGAGGGAGTCGGTAAGCTGGCATGCGTAACACGTGGCCCCGCCATCGGAGCCTGGTGCGGAAAATAACAGTGCTGAGCGCTTCAGATCCTTTTCCTGGGCCGTAAACAATGCGTCGAACACGCTCGTTACTCACGCGGTGTTCCCACCAGATGTGAGCCAAACTGCGAAGGCACCGATGGTCGAACGTAACTAACCTCTTCAGGTCCGCCGATCTTACGGAACAGGTTTCGCAACCGTACAGTAAGGTCGAACGTACCGCGGCATTGTACACTCTACCCATCAGGGCAACAGTGATGTCGCGCCGCCGCCATAGGTGGCGAAGGTTAGCAAAAGCACTTCGAGCTTTTGCCATACGGTTCGTGATCACGTCTTCGATCCCAAGGGCGCTGATACAACTTCCCAGGTAATTGAATTTCTGAACGACTTCTAGCTGATCCCCACCAAGGGTCAGAGCAGGAGGCGATCCTTGCCAATCCTGGAGGAACGCTTTGCACTTCGATGGTGCAAAGCAAAGCCCGAAGCGGCCTCGCAAGTCTGGGAGCAGTCACAGATGAGGGCAATGTCGTCTACATACTCCAAGTCAAGAAGTCGTTCTCCTGGGAGTAGCTCTACACCTTCCAAGTCATGTCCTGTAAATGCAAACTCCATGGCTTCGTCAATAGCGAAGTTGAAGAGGAAAGGTGACAGCGGGCATCCTTGTCTCACACCGCTGGAGATATTGAAAGGTGGCGACAGCTTGCCGAAAGCCCCCACTCTGCCCGTGCTACGCGCGTATAGCGCTCGGATAATATTTACATATTTCTCGGGCACACCTTTCTTGAGTAGACAGTTCCAAAGGGCACATCGATCAACGGAATCAAAGGCACCTTTGATGTCGAGAAACACGATGAGGGTGGGCCGCCAATATGTGTGACGGTGCTCCAACAAGTGACGCAAGGTGAAGATGTGGTCGACGCAGCCACGACTCCGACGAACCCTGGCTTGCTCCTCACGAATCTGACTTTCACGAGCGCAAGTCAGTCTGTGAACAATTATGGAGGCGAGTAATTTGGAGGCGATGGAGATCAGACTGATTCCTTTATGGTTGTCGCATTCCGAACGCGAGCCTACTTTGAATATGTGAACAATAACGGAGCGGCTCCAGTCGGTTGGGAGAGTCTCCTGCTCCCACAGTTTCACTAGTAATTCATGTAAAGCATCAACAAGAGCAGAGCCTCCGAAGTTGAAAAGGGCTGAAGGAAGATCATCTGGTCCCGCGGCTTTGTTCAACTTCAACAGTCCGATCTCACGTTCGACTTCTGAACGAGGGTGGATCCAAAGGGACAGCCCACGGAGCAGGGCGATCACTGGCCGGCGAAGAATCGAACAATTCTAGCCGATTAAATTGCCTTTCAAAATGCTCAGCCCAACGCTCCAAACGTTTTGACAAATTGTGGATAGGCTGTACACTCTCGTCAAGTATAGTTTCACTAATACCAGGTCTGCTGCTGCCCGTTTCCCGAATCAGACGGAATAACTTACGATTATTGTCAAGGGCAGCGACTACTTCCATCTCTGACGCACGATGAGACCACCAAGATTCGCGGTCTCTCTTCAGGCTAGTGCGGAGTTTTGTCCGGAGCTCTTTGCGAGTTTCATTGTGCTCGCTTCCAGCCGGGATATACCGGCGAGCGTCGATAAGTTCCAGAGACCGAGAAGAGACCCAATGTCCATGTTGGCCATTAGACATACCACATGAGGATTTGCCCGCTGCTAGTAAGGTCTGGCGAACATGTGACCAGTGACCATCAATTGGCTCCAGTGAGCGATTACTCAACCCGCATGTCAGCATACTTCGATACGCATACAGAACAGCTGGCTTTGTCAGTTGGCTGGTGTCAATGCGCTCACAGCATATACCATACCCAACGAGTATATATATATATATATATATATATATATATATATATATATATATAAAGGTGGCCTTGATAGCACGAGGCATGAAAATCAGTAACCCATCAACATAGCTTACTGAATGTCGAATTATGCATATGAACTAGTAAACGTCATAGAAGTAACAATTTTGAAAGCAACTTTCAAAGGTGAAAATGACCTCATTCCTCGCAATTCCAGGAATATGCCATTTCAATCTAAGATATTGCAATTCCCAATTCGTTTGGCGTTTGCAATCACAATCAGAAAGGTCAGAGCCAATCTTTTGAAGTATGCGGTCTAGATCTAGGCACGGACTGCTTCTCCCGTGGACAATTACATGTTGCGTGTTCTAGACTCGGCGAAAGTGACAACCGTCATATCTGCGCAGACAATGGAACAACAAAAGATATTGTATACTCACGTGTATTGTGAAATTACATCGATTAAAAATGTGCGATTTCTGTTTTCGTTCTTTTTCCTTTAACCACACTGAGTCAAAACAACGAGTGGCCGGGTACATCTAGTAAACTAGTGAACGTGCATGTAACAGCAAAATTAGAAACAGTCTCAGAGTGCCTCATTCGATTAGGGCAACAATATACTACCGAACAGCGCTGAAGAACGTCCCCGAACTTCCTCAAGCACTAATGTGAACACCCATGGAAAGAAAGATGGGGAAAAAACAATTTCACATACGTCCAGGTTTTGTGCGGGATTCGGTCGACCAGTAATAGAAAAAGCCAGTGCGCACGTTTGAAATATATCAGGCCGCTTTGTGGCATCTACACAGAGAAGATAACCTGCGGAAGAAACAGGAAAACGGTGTCATTTCAGTGGCGTAACAGTGACATTAGAGAAAACAAGTTCAGCTAAGTGGGCTTCCGAAAATCTGTTCGGATCTCACAGGCCCATTGGTCAGGGCACCAGACGCTAGTGCGAACGAAACCGGTCGGGGGGAGGGGGCAGGGTAGGAGCGACAGTGAAATCCCTCCATTTCGGATACGGCCCTGGTGATCAGGACGAGAGGTCCAATTGAAAGTGAACCGAGGTTTCGACAAAGATTGCGCGCCGGAATCCAACCACACAGCGGGTACCACAAACGCAAGTTTGAATTCTTAATCATTATGCTAAGCATCGCTCACGGAGCTTAGACGCTTAGTTATCAAGGCGTCAGTCGTTTATCATTAGGTCCGGAGTTCCACTCCTAGTTCACGCTATTTCTATCTGATGAGTCCAAAAGAGGACGTGGGGTGTAGTCGTGAGAGCAAGTAACACCGAATACTTCCACCTCGTAAAATTTGATTCCCAATTCAATAGTGGCAGCGCCTAAAAACAGTCGAAACCGACGGTGAGTCGAGCAGCGTTGTTTGTGGTTAGGTTCAGGTACACTGTACAAGGGACAACCAGGAGACGTATAAATTCACAACCCTGTAGAACAAATGCTTCATTCATCCACATGAATGAGTGGACCCGCGTCTCAACGCTGTTAATTAAACGAAAACAGAAAAGGCTATTAATTCTAGCTGTCAGGCTTCGATATAGCGAAAAGTGACGTCCAATAAAGATGCCTTGTTTCCACAAGTTTCTACATCCTCCCTTGAAAAATGGACCAGTAACTCGTGCAGTTAGGTCAAGCATGCCTCTGAAATCTAGATGAAAAGTTATTCCCCAAGTTGCGGACAAAGTTCCAGCTACCATGAAGCAAGACAGAAGAACGACTGTTCAATATTTAAAGCATGTACTAACACTTAGAACGATGTAGCATGAATTTGCAGGCGATTCAGCCAATCAGAAGCAAGGACACCCCTGGCCTAATGAATGTGAAGAGATGATAAAGATGGAGTAACTAGTCAATAGCAAGGGTGCCTCAACTTGGACACAGAAAACGCAGGGTAGGGAACACGACACTACCTAAGACAGAGCAGGTGACAGGAGAGGCATGCAGAAACGATAGAATAAAGAACAGTGTCACACTCGATAAAATCGAGTATGGAATATGCAGTTCAGAAGACAAATACTCATTGTCATTAAGCTCAAAGCTGACGTGATGTCCCGGTTAGGCAATGAGATGTATTGATTGAGAGGTATTGATTCAATCAGTCCCGCAGAGTATAAACTCGACGGCCGTCTAAGCGGTATCATAATTGGATAGGTGTAAAACAAGGCACTGCCAAAACTTCGCAAACCGTAGTTTGTTGATGACAATAAAAATGTGCAATACAGTGTAGGAATAAGAAGGGATTTGAAACATGTGACCAGCCACATAACGATGGTGCAGCCGGGAACCGACTAAAAGCGGAAGAAGTGAGTTCGCATACACACTGAGCAGCTCAGCAATGAGAACCCAGTACAGCTGGCCAGGCAAAGGCTTAACTGACTGCAGGGATAGCAATACAATTGCTTCTCTGTTTAAAGTAGATCGTACAACAATACAGTTCGGCACAATAGTCGAGATATTTGTTCCTCAGTTCTAGCTAACTGTTGGAATATGGATGATAATGGGAATAGTATTGCTGTAACGATCAGAAACAAGGCGGATGCGTTCTGTGGACGCTCGTAACGAGTGAGACCATAGCGGTCGCTTACACCTTGCTAACAATCGTAACGTAGAGATTGGTAACAAGACAACTAACACTGCTTCAGATCGTCACTGAACTTGTGGTGCCCACGTGGATTAGGTCATAATCATCAGACGTCAGTCGACTGCCTACTTCCAGCGTGATGTATGCCCTTAGTATTCCAGGAAGAACAGAGATTCCGGATGACTCACCGATGATATTGCGAAAAGCATGGTGGAGTTGGGGTTGGATAGCTCGAATTCAGTAGGTCATGGTGATGGTGGTAGACTCACGTTGACATAAACAAATAAATAAATAAATGATATAGCTGGTAACCAAATGGTGTCCTCGCGTATTCGGTCTACTACCTCAGCCTGCTAACAACTTCAATCCTAAGGTCTTGTCGCATTTCATTGAGAACTGGTTCTCCGCTTAATTCCCCACCCCAAATAGTAGTCAAGTATGCTGATTCCCATGGTACAATAGATCAAAGTGATGAGAGTTTCGCCCGGTTTCCACTTTGGGTGGATTACTCAGGTGTGCAGCGTTGGGAACGAAACCCCTCCAATACAGACGGGGTTTCAGTGAGCGGAATCGATGTCAACAAAGAAAGGTATACCAGAATCCAACAACTAAGATTCGTCGTACTTTCGCATCAGTGATCGTAATCGGCTAATTGACCGGAATTGTGATAAATACCCAAGGTCTGTATGCATCAAAATGCAGCGAGTCCAGTTGTGTTCACTCGTGTCGAAAAATGGTCAACTTAAGAGGAAAAACGTAGGTTAGGATAGTGAATGGAGGACTCAAGAGGCATAAGTAACGAAAGAAGAACAGCGTCAGTGACCTCCAGAATGCGCTGTATCAGAGAGGGTATATAATCAATGTTGCGGCCGAAACCAGGAAGAGGATACGCACCCAAGCACCTTACATGTATCCGACTGAGCGATGTTCGCAGTGACTGAACCAACCTTGGTTCACTACACAGTAGTACTAATTGGGATATTTCGGACTGAAAACCAAGGATAAGGCGCCCGGTTATTGAGACAGCGGTTACGCGCGATTCGGTGTTTGTAAGACTATACTGGAGAATTCTTGCGTCCTAGGTTCCAGCCCTGGAGAGCAGCCTAGCTACTTGAAAAAAGCTAATAAGCCAAAAGTCGGTAGTGATGCGAAGCCTGACAGCGAATGGCATTTGATGTAAACCTGTTTCAGATACAGTCTGCGCAAGCTGAAATCGCGAGTAGCGATTCCACTGTATTACAGCTGTTCTAGACAAACTAGAGGGGTCTAAGCTTTGTTTGGTTAATCGGCGATATTCCGTGGGGTGATGAGTGTTGGATGCATAGAGATGCATCCACAGTATACCAGTACGTAGTGCTGATGCTTCGCTGCCACGCGACCACCATCAGTTGCGTGTGGGCCAAGGATCTGTGAGGGACGCCCGGTCCCTACGCAGGTTTGCATGCAGCTGCCTTGAAGCAGCACGACAAAATAACGGCAGCAATATTCAATATAATAATAATAATAATAATAATAATAATAATAATAATAATAACTGTAGCTAATAATAGAAGATGGACAACGGTGAAATCGACAAGACTGAATAAAGGGTATATACGCTGGATTGTGTATTGGAAGTGTTAAGTCGTCACTAGATTTAGGGATACCATGCATTCCATAGATTATCCAACCACTAGGCGGAGTCGATACCGATGTTCCAGTCTAATCCCACGAAAATACCCAATCCCGTTGAGCCGCTTTTTGACGAATCTTTTCAGTATCTGTTCTATGTCAATGATTGGCCACTTCGCGGTTCCACATAACTAAGCGCAGCATATGTTACCAAGTGGCCGGCTTACGGGTATGCGAAAATTGTGACCTGATCATTGCTCGTGGTCCAATGTCAACAAACATTGATGTGTAGTTCCAAAGGACGAATTGCCAAACATCAACCGACGGAGAACAAAACACATTCGGCGCTTTCGTTAGACACTGGCAATACCACCACTTTGTACACATGGACAATCGAACACGGTTAGTCAGCTAAGACTTGCAAAACACCGAGGCTATGTCCCCGAACTGTGCGATAACACAGTTATGTTCTTGGCAATTTCGCTCAAAACCGACTTGATTTCGCAGTGGAACAGAAGCGTAAGAAAACATAAAAAACGATAAGGTGCAACTGTAACGGTCTCCAACTGTTTGGAATGAGGAGTCATAGTGTCTAGAAAAAAATGACTGACGGAGTTTATGGAACAGGACACAGTGGGAGTAACGGTTAATGGATTGTAGCAATGGACGTGGGGCGTTGTGCGACAACTAGTATAAATCTGCGTGCAATTTGATCTAAAGTAAACTTCGACCAAATGGATATTGGGTGTTGCTCGGTCGAAAACACTGCACTCCACGACGGGTTTCGATCGCATTTGATATCATCAGGTGGAGATAAAAGGCATCGAACCCGTGACCATTGGAATGTTAGCCACCGGGTCACGACGGGTAACGCTTGTTTTCGAACGGGTAATACGAAACCAGTAAGAGTGATCGAATTGACTGAGATTCACCTCAATGAGAATCGCGGTGCACATTGAGACTGCGCGTCGCAAACCATCCACAGAATGTGTACTTCCAAATGACCATCTAATCATTAACCGCCATGCCAAGCGTTGGCCGTCGTGACCCGGAGGCGGGTATTTCGTTTAACACCCCAATATCTCGGAGTTCAATGCTTGTTAACTCTACCTGAGGACATCGATTCAAGTAGAAATCTGCCGTTGAACGTAGTGTTTTCGAGGCGTGCAGTACAACATATCTGTCCGCTTGATCAGTTACGATCGGATTGACAAAGGTGCACTTCAATGGGAGGCGCGGTATAGATTGATACTGCGCGTCGCAATCCATTCTCACACAACGAGTACATTAGAATGATCCTCCAGTCAATCTAAAGTTCGGTTGAAGTAACTGCATCAGACACGGCAATATTTGTGCTGTTCGATGACCAAATCTCAATCGACGACCGAGTTCATCTTGTAACAGTGGAACAATGGATTGTTCACGGATAAAAAGGTAAATGCTTAACAAGTCCCGTAGACAAAGATTAAAGATACCTTGCAAAAAGTAGCGAGTATCGGTGGACTCTCAGCATGTTTAACAAGCGGACAAAGATCGATTACATCATATCAGGTCCTAAAAAGTTGGGTTTAAAATCAATAAACGCAGGTGGGGTAATGCATTAAGAA